GGGGGCCTCAGCCGAACGAGACCTGACAAGATTGTCCTCATCCTTCCGGTGAACTTCTCATGCAGCAAATGCAAGCTGCTTCCCTACTGGACATCGGATTTGGAGAATAGGACTGAACTGGCCGGTCGCCCGCACCATGTCCACAAAAACCTCATACCCGAAGCAATCCTCAATCACGCTACGTTGGACCTGCCTTCGCCAAGCGGTGGGTGGCCTCTACCAAGTCCTTGGGCGGGAAACACTGCGCTAGTCCGACGGGCTTGGCGACCGGAAGTATGTTGACACCTCGTGCCTATGACCAAGTTGGAGTAAACTGCCTTCGTGGACTGTGTCGCCAATTTGTTTCATCAGCGCGAGCACTTGGATGGTCAGCCTATGTTGCCCAACTGTTCAAAGTGCAGAGTGTAGGGACCTTACACATCCTTCGATCCCAAAATAGATACAGTACAAAAAGTCATACAAAAGCAAACAGTCACACACAACTTGCGGTCCGTCCAGCGGCTCCTCAACACCCCTTAGTTTGCTACCTGGGTATGGGATCTAGGGTGACAAGTAGACCCTTGAATCACTTGAGTACCAGCTAAGGCGATCTTTCCATCTCTCTCGCCATAAAAGAACGACGGCCCGCGCGGGGCGGCGCCTCGCAGCTGGCCGAATCGACGAGGGCCTCGCTGATCTCGGGGCGAGATGGGTGAGACGTCTGCACCCATCGGAAGAGAAGGACAGGACCAGCCGTGGTCGGGATCGGAACACGGGAGGTGCTCAAATTGGGATCAGTCTGTGCAAAGGAGAGTGGCGCTCAAAGTCACCGCCATGGATGTGCAACTGGTCCCAGGTCACAAACAATCTCTCAGCAGGTCCGGCGTGCAGCACAACTCCTGAATTGACCATAATATGTACCCCATTGAAACTCACATAAATCCTGAAAACACTGGTTTGTAGAGAAAAACAGTCTTGGGGGGTCAGCAACCCCGGGTCCATGTCTGTTTTCAGGAGAGTGTCAGCCATCCATGCAGGAAAAGAAGTGCACTGTTGGTCACTGCATTGATCAGCCAGGTGAAACAAAACTGACAAACATGGTCGATGATGGTACCCTTTTGTTTAAAAAGCAGTTCATCGCAAGCCTCTGACGGGTTTTGCCCGAAAAATTAGACTTCTCTTTCCAGTTTGGGTAAGATGTGCATGCGATAAACTCACTCTGTTTCTCTTTCTTTTCGATGAAAAAGCATCCATGGACAGGTGTTGAACCATTGCTACACAAACACCAAACAATGTCGGGGTCGTGATCAAATGATCCAGAAATTAGCAAAACGGACGGTAAACCTCATGTCAACCTGGCGTGTGGAGGATGGGATGTTGTCTCCATCGGTGATACAAGTGGACTCGAACCATGCCACGCGGTCTCGCCCCCCTTTTCGGTCTCGTGGTTCATTGGCTCAACGGTCCGCTGCCGCGGCGGCACATCCACAAGTCGCGTGAGGCATCCTCGGATGGGATCCGTCATGCCATCATTCATGATTCAAGGCTTCCTGCATTCACAGACTCACTGATTGGGGTTGGCCATTGGCCAGGTCACTCAGGCATTTTGCTTGGTCATCTAGTGGCCTTAAGTCTCTGTAATATGCCTTACTTTTTTGGGAGTGCTTTTTATATATATATATATGACAACAAGAGTAGGATGCTATCATCCCACCCTCCCTCCTAAGAAGCTACAGTCTCAAGACTCACGCCAAGACCTTTTGTCGGTTGTCCTGCTGACTTTCTGTTTC